TATTTTTTTGTAGCCAATTCGTGATATGTGTATCAGTGTGTAAGTATAAAACTTTATTATCTTTAAGGGCTATTACATGGTGGAAAAGCTATAGGCATTGGCATCCACACACTGGCTTTAGTTCAGCCACTTTCTAGCTGGGTACTGAAGTTAATTAATTTCTTCATTTCTATGTCTATTAAAATGGACACAGCGTAGATTCTAAAGAAATGCTAGTTGCCTTATATATATCACCCTCTTCACTTCCTTCTGCAGTCTTTAATTTTTTGTTGCTGCTGATGTTGTTGTCATGTGATAAGCACTGGAATTCATTAGTACTCTAACACAGATTTACCAGAGAGGTAGTTTAACCAAGATCCTGTGCAGCAACACCAGAATATCTAAATTATATGTGCCCTAGAAATCTTGGCTTCATGATTATGAAAAATTCGTGTCAGATTTAGTCATTACCAGTTATAAATATGATGTGAGTATCTTGTGGAAGGCATTGTTCCTTAGTACGTTTTACAAAGATTGATAAAAATAGAGGAAGAAAACTTGCCTGAGAAGCGCTTTCTTACCAACCTTTCAAAAAAGAAACTAGTCTTAAAATAATATATCATTTTGTCTTAGGAAGTATATCAATCAGATTTTAAAACAACTTCTGAAAACAAAAATGGATGTGGCCAAGAAATGTTGTTGGTCTTTTGGTTGTTGTTAATTGATGTTGAAATTAAAATGAATGCAGCCACATCATTTTTGGAACAATTGTTGCTCTTGATAGCACAAGGGCAAACACTTATTACTAAACACTTGGAGCCTGCTGAAGACATTATGTAAGAAAATTAGATATCTACAGGCCAGCTAAAGTGTAGGAAGGAAAACAGACAACCTAAGAGAAATTGAATAATTTTGAATGCTTAAAAGATTTCAGAAGTTTTGGATAGGATCTTACTTTTTACATGTCTGTGATTGCACATCAAGGAGTCCTGGTGGCACAGTGGTTAAAGTGCTCGGCTGCTAACTGAAAGATTGGCTGTTTGACCCCACCAGCTGCTCTGCGGGAGAAAGATGTGCCAGCGTGCTTCTGTAAAGAGTTCAGCCTTGGAAACCCTATGGGGCTGTTCTGTGCTGTCCTGTAGGGTTGCTATGAGTCGGAAATGACTTGACAGCCTTGGGTTTTTGAGATTGCACATCAATGTATAACCCAAATAGTTTATTTCTTAAATCAGTTATTGGTTAGCATTATTCTTTATTTGAATCTACATGAGTCACTTAGCTTATCTTAAGTGTAGCACTAAAATGATAAATTTTTAAAAGTAGGTAGAAATATTGCTTGATAAATTCAAATCTAATCAAAGGAACTATGCTTCAGACTCTCTAGAAGAGTGATTTATTTATTCATTCATTCAACACTTACTGAGCATTTGCTCTGTGTAAGGTCTTTAGGAAAGATACAGTTCTTGTCCTGGAAAACTTACATTCCAATCCAAACCGAAACCAAACCCGTTGCCATCGAGTCAATTCCAACTCATAGTGACCCTATAGGACAGAGTAGAACTGCCCCATAGGGTTTCCAAGGAGCAGCTGGTGAATTCAAACTGCCGACCTTTTGTTTAGCAGCCAAGCTCTTAACCACTGTGCCACCAGGGCTCCTACATTCTAATAGGGAGATAATACATATAGTCAAATAATAATAAAATTGTATTGGGGGGGGGAAATGGTAAATATTGTAAGAGACACAGAGAGCTATCTGAGTTAAAAGAGATAGGAGATTTCTTCCAACTGACCTAGGCCTTAAGTATGAG